TGCAGGGTAGCGAATATGGCACTGTCATCCGGCTGCGCTCTGAAGACCCGTGTCCAACTGGTGACTCAAGTCCCAAGTTTATGATCAAATAAAAGCAAAACCAGAAAGCGACTCAGCGTGCAAAGAGACCGAACCACCCTAGAGGAAGGACAGTGCCGAACGGAGCGGCCCCATTTCATGCATTTTTGAACCTTTAGGGCAGCATGCTGGATTCGCTAGATGCAAGACGCTGCTGCGTAGCTGCCAACTTGCTCCGCCGTTGCAAGATGGGTGGGTGAGCCCTAGAAGAGCCCGTCGACTTCAAAGGACTAGAAAGAAGTCTAGTAATAGGCCTCGTGATGCTGAGACAAGAATCGGGTCTCGAAATGGAAAACCCGGTGGCTTAGGCTCATAAAACATAAAAGAACCTAAATTGATCCAGGCTGCACCACAGCACGGCTGAAGCTTTTGGAGGATTTTTGAGCAAAGTTCATTCAGCTGCCCTCGAGTTACAGATATTGGGAAACAAAATGTAAGAAGTACTTTTTTTTCTATGCTCACAACTCCAAAAGCCAACTGGCTCATCCTCATCAGTGTGCACTTGAATAAATATAGCAACCGCATCTGGAGGGGCTCCAAGTCGCTTTTGCATGTGCGGAGCATTCGTTTTGGGAGCACCAGAACAGCCGATGCTGCGGACAGATCGCATCTCTGCAGCCGGTTTGCAAAATAGCCATCTTTTCACCACAACGTTCTCTTCATAGCTGTACTCTGCGATCCTTAAATCAAGCAGAACTCTTTTCTGAAACCCAGGTGTTTTCATAGAAAACTAGGGCTGGAAGGAACATCAGGGGGTCACACCTAGTCCAGCCCTCTGCTCCAAGCAGGACCATCCTCCAGCTACATCACCCCAGCCCAGGCTTTGTCTAGCTGGGACTTTAAAACCTCCAAGCATGGAGAGAGTCCACCACCTCTTTGGGTAACCTGTTCCAGTGTTTTACTACCCTCCTAGTGAAAAAGTTTTTTTTCCCTAATATCCAACGTAAACCTCCCTAGCTGCAGCTTGAGCCCATTGCTCCTTGTCCCATCATCTGTGCCCACTGAGAACGGCCTAGCTCCATCCTCCTTGGATCCACTACCCTGGAGGTTTTGCTTCATTCAAGAGTGCAGAATCTCCTCCTTTTCTCCAAAATGTTTTCTACTGCAGTGGTAACGCCCTCAGATCTCCCAAAGGGAACGTACCTGCTGCAAGACCCTCTAGAGTCTCTTTCCTTCCCGGTGAGATCATAATCCCAAACCACAGAGCAGGGCGATTACGAACTCTGCTAGCAAAACCCAGTTGCTTGTTTGAGCAAATCGTTCTCCTCAAACCTACTGGCCTTTGCATGGGGTGGGGTGGGGACACACAAACAAAAAAAAAAAATAGAGAAATTAAAATGTTTTGACACATTGATGCTATTTTGATCAGGAAATTATGTTAGTTGTGATGCCGACTCATGTTGAATTCTCTATTCTTATTGTATGTTGACTTCTCTATTCTTATTTTAAATATGCACCGTGGCATACACACAATAAAAATAACTGAACTAATATTACAGTGAGAATCACATCCCCCCCCGTTTCCTGAGCCTAGAACATTTCAATTTGTAACCTTGCAGTTGTTATCAGATGGCTGGGAGCTAAAGCAAAAAATAAATGAAGACTAGAGAAGGAGCCTATTAGCCAGGGTAATTAGCCAGCTGAGCAACTTAACAAGGGATGTGACTGATCTTCCATCACTGGGAATCTTTAAAGCAAGCCTGGCTGCCTCTCTCAGAAATGATAACCCAGCCCGGGTCTGAGCTTGTAGAGGAACTGCTGGATGAAAGTCTGTTCTGCTCCCCTCCCCAGCTTGATTGGACCTTGACTGGACTCACAATCTGGCCATTTCTGTTGCTTAATTTGTTCCTGGTCCAGCTGAGGGCTTTGGTCTTAACAGCTTATAACCAGAACATCCCCCGTGAAATCACCGAGTTCCCAGACGACACAGCAGCATCCTTCACACAAAGAGGTGCCTCCTCTGGGCAGGACAGAGACGTTAGTGGGGCTGGGAATAAGAGAACAGGAGCCTGAAAAATAACTCAAGTAGCCACAGCCTGCTTGAGCAAGACAAGTCTGCTGAGCTGGCTTTCACGTCCCCCTGACTGGGTGAAGTCAGTGGGTCGCGTGCATCATTGTCCCGTACCTGCTAAGGCTCAACTTTCACGCCCATGCTAACTTGATTACTTGTTTTCAGCCCTTCCTCTACAAGACCAAGAAGTCCTGCTGCAAACCAGAAGAGAAATGGGGGCACAGGGTGCAACCGTGTGCGAGCCAAACTCTTTTGTGGTGGCTCAAAGAGATGTTTTATTAAATATCGAATCATAGAAAAGGAGGTTTGGGAGGGACCTCAGGAGGTCACATCTAGCCCAACCCCCTGCTCAAAGCAGGACCAGCCCCAACTACATCCTTTCTCTCTGCACGTGTCTCCTGGGCCAGAAGAGGAGCCAGGCACAGTGTAATCTCAGCCTGCTGGGAACAGCACCATCGTCTCGTTATTACAAAATGCAGAGCACTGCATCAGGACCAGCTGGAAGTTTTAATGACTTCAAAAGGAGACACGGGCAAAAGAAGGGAAGTGATCGAACTCCAAGGATCTGTGATAGTGGGATTTAAGGCTTGAGACTTGATTAAATATATCAAAGCCTCTTTCTTCTTCAGGCATGAGGTTGTAAATCCTTCTCTCTCAGATTTATGGGTTTAGTATCTGCAAGCGCCCTTTGATCAGCACTGCCTGCCCCTACCCATAGTAATTAGTGTCTGACCCTACATTCCATAGCAACAAAGGTAGGGATGACCAGAGTGCTTAAATCAGAGATTAAATTGCTCCATCCTGTGACAGATCAAGGGATTAGGCCACCAATTGCCCACAAGCATGTCCTGTGACCACGCAGCCCTGTCCTCTTTGCTTTAAAATAAAGTGGCAGCTTTCCCACATCACGAATGTCCAGTATTTATTTCCCACACCACAAGGATCTAAACTGTAGGTTCAGCACTGAAAACTTGATGAGGACAGAGATGCAGCACAACGATTTACCCCAAGGGGAGCTGGTGATGCTGAGACTTCAGATTGTTTTTGCCTGGAAGACCCAGAGATGGATGACCTGTCTTGACTGCAAGTGAGGACACCTCAAGCCTGCTCTCTACCACCTGATGCTCATAAATGTTCGCGACTTCCGCTCCACGGTAGCCATTCTACACAAAGCAAAGGAGATGCCCCACTGCTCCAAGCTGGGTGGAGGGATGATCTGGGATAATGAAGGAAGAAAACCTTTACCAGAGTGCAAAAACACTAGCAAGCTGTAACATTACAAATCCCCATTTTAAAAAAAGTCAGAAAATGAGGGTTGGAAGGGACCTCAGGAGGTCCCCAACTACATCATCCCAGCCAGCGCTTTGTCAAACCAGGCCTTAAAAACCTCCAAGGATAGAGGCTCCACCACCTCTCTGGGTAACCTGTTCCAGTGCTTCCCCACCCTCCTAGTGAGGAAGTTTTACCCAATATCCAACCTGAACTTGAGCCCATTGCTCCTTGTCCTGTCATCTCTCACCACTGAGAACAGTTCAGCTCCATCCTCTTTGCATCCCCCCTAATGGGAGTTGAAGGCTGCTATTCAATCCCTCCTTGGTCTTCTCTTCCCCAGGCTAAATAAACCCAGTTCCCTCCACCTCTTCTCAAAAGTCATGCCCCCCAGCCCCCAAACCATCTCCACTGCCCTCCACTGGACTCATTCAAACTTGTCCTCATCCTTTCTGTAGTGGGAGCCCCACAACTGGATACAGTGCTCCAGATGTGGCCTCCCCAGTGCTGAATAGAGGGGAAGAATCACTGCCCTTGATCTGCTGGCAACACACCTACCAGTTCAGCCCAGTAGCTGTTAGCCTTCTTGGCAACAAGGCCACACTGCTGGCTCATGTCCATCTTATTGTCCACCGTCACCCCCAGCTCCTTTTCTACAGAGCTGCTACTTAGCTACAGGCTGGGGAGCAACTGGCATTGCCAGCAGATCGAGGGAAGTAATTATTCCCCTCTATTCGGCACTGGTGAGGCCACATCTGGAGTCCTGTGTCCAGTTTTGGGCCCCCCACTACAGAAAGGATGTGGACAAATTGCAGATGCTTCAGCCAGGCCCCCAAACTACAAGGCTCTGATGGCCTAGCTAAGTTGGCGAGCAGAAACTTTCACTGCCTCTTAAAAGATGCAGCTTCGCTGACACACCCCAGGGCAAGGGCTGTAGGTACTCAAGAGAGCCAAGCAGGTATGCAAGGGAGGGAGCAGAGATCGAGTACGACATATAAAGGCAAAATGCTGAGGTTTTCTTCCAAAGCAAGGAGGAAACAAGCATCCACAGTCCATTTAGGATGGTGTCTGCAGTGGGGATGCTAGCAGCCCCAACCAGACTAAGGGACCCATTTGAAGTCAGCACCCAAGGGAACAGCAGAGGGCAAGTCTCTCCTCTAAAACTATTTTCACATGTGTCGGGTATTTACAACACCAAGCAGAAATCCCTGGAAAGCTGCTAACCCTTGTGAAGAGTCAGGTCCTTTAAGGAGCAGAGTCAATGCACACTGGCTACAGTGGGATACTCGCACAATACGGGAGAAAGCCTTAGTGAAGCTGAATAATCTCTTGCTAATTCTTTTTTTTTTTTTTAAGAGAGATGATTGAAATCCCAAGAGATTTAAACCCTCGTCCAAAGGGCTTGGTTACTGAAACTCCAGACCCTAACACGTTGTTCTGCACTAAAGCACATCTGTGGACAGAGAACTAGTGCTTTCCTTGTGCCGGTTAAGGTGAGAAGAGGATACTTTATTTCAATACCCCAGGAAAGAATTTAGCTTCAGAAGAATTACCTGTGGTGGTCACCTTGGTTTGGGGAAATACTGGCCGTCTGTACATGAGTGGGGGTAGGCTGCTCAAGTGCTGTAATTACAGTGCATCAGAGCAGACTCAATCTGATCAACACTGATACATGAGACACAGTGGCACTTTAATTAGAGAGGCTCTTGGGGGCACTGTAATTAAAGAGCTGTGTGTCCCGTCCCCACACCGAGCACATGTAAAAGTGTCCACCGTGTCTGCACAGAGCACAGTAAGTACAGAAAGAAACTTGTACAAAAGCATGCTGTTGTCAGCTGGAGATCTGCTATTAAGAATCAGAGAACGTCAGGCTCAGATATCTCCAAACACTGGCTCCAAGCTAGTGGCTATTTTCACTTTAGGTCTTGGTGGTTACAAAACTAAAAACTGCCTCCCCTGCTAGCAGTTTAGAGGCCTCATCACAAAATGGTTACAAGACACGTTATTCCAGTTATCTTAGAAATCTAACTGAGGGGCTTACTATTACGGTGGGAGCTAATAGGTTCTGCATATGTCTTCCCAATAATTTTAGGCAACAAAGTTGTTCCCCCCATCCTCAAGTATTAGCCAACAGAAGAATACAGTCTTGCTTAAGGACACAGGTAACAGAGAATGAGTGAGTGCCAGGTATTAACACATGTGCTGTCCATTACAATTCTAGAAACAGCGACATTCATTCAACAACATTCAGAAGACCTTTAAAAAGTAACGGCCGATGCCCTGCCTCTCTGGGGCACAGGAAAAAGG